TCATAGCAGATTATTGCTTGTTCAAATTATTTTATATTCTTTATGATTGTATATATTATTTTAATACACCTTACCTAAAATTTAATTATGGAGATTAACTTTTCCATAATAGGCGTTTACATGTTTCGGATCAAGTTCAATGGATTTATCAAAAATTACTATTGCATTTTAACATTAATTTTGTTATAATAGCACATAACCTAATAAATATTATTCTTTTTGAACCTTTTAGATAATTTAAATGACTATTCTAAATATCCTCTATCAAACCTTATTCAGCACTCAAAATTGCTTATTAATATTATTTTTATTTAATTAATGAAATTACTATTAATATATTTAATTATACTTTTCATCCATAAAGCATATACATTATTATTAACTAAACCTAAAATAGTATCACAATATAATATAATGTTTTTATCTATATCCTCTTAAATAATTGTATTGCTTTTATTCAATTTACTCATAGAATAGACTTTTAATTATATTTTATGATACTTTATAACATCAATGTAGCTATATTATTGCTTTTTATCCTTAATTTTTCCTTTAGAGTGATTAGAGCTTATTCTTAAAAGTTTGGATATTCTATTTATAAGTCTTCTAGTAATTAAAAAGATAGATAGTTTTTGTTTTATTACATTAAAGTAACACCTTATTTTTATTTTATTATACTTTAGTAAAATTTTGCCAGATAATTTTTTGAGTCTTCTTTTAAAACTTTCTCAAATTTTTCTAAAGCTCTTTAGTATTCCTACTAGTTTATTAATTCAATTCCTTGTTTCAACCCTAATTGTAAAATATTATGAATACAGAGATCGATAATTTCTTTCTCAAATTAAGTCTATTTTATTTTTGTATTCCAATTCTTTACTCTGTCAATATTATCAAGAAATTCCTTAAATTTTTATTCTTTAAAGTTTTTGGCTATCTCCTTAAACTTTTGCTGTTCTTTTTAAATAATTTTGATAGTATTTTAATACTCACATTTAAACTATTCAAAGTTCTAATCAGCTTTTTCTTAAAATTAATCTAGCTTATATATAATTAAATCTAGGATTAGATCGATTTTATCAAATGGTTTGCAGTCAATTCTACAATTTAAATGTTTTTAAGGATTGATTAGACAATTCACACAAAATTGAGATTTAGGCTCCTGACAATCAGCAGAAAGGCAAAAACCGACAATTGAACTTCCTTCATGCTCTAAATTTTGACAAAAAAACATTTGTATCTTTTTTAATTTAAATTATAATAAATCTTATTCATAACATATGCCATAAATATAGGTTTTATTATATTATAATTGACAAACTTAGTCATAATTAATAATTGAATTCGTATTATGGAATGAGGATCATTTGAATTTTAAGTTTTATTAAGAGAAAATCAGATGATTTCTATGAGAAAAATTAAAAAATTCTTCTTTATTCAAAACATTTTTTATTATTTAATAATCTCTATTAGACTATGATTCATCACTTGAAAATATCCATCTTTTATCATTTCCTTTAGATACATTTCACTCTTGATTTTCTGATCTGCATGAGCTTTAGAAATTCTTTTTTACTTGAATAAACAATAATCAGCATTGTTTAAGCACTGCAATAAATATCTAATTGGGTCTTATTTACAAACAGAATTATTTTCCATCTTAACTTTCAAAATTCAAAAAGTAAACTAACAATATCCTCAAAGAATAATCATTTTTTAGATTCTGTTAATCATAAAAGAAAATAGATTAAGTAAATATTAGACTTAATTATTTCTCTCCAAATAACAGTGCATAAGAAAACCAACTTGAAAGGTAATTTGTTATTAAAACAAAAATACTTATCTTTATTTCATTTAGCATTGAAGAAATTATTATTTTAGTTTAATAGAAATTATAAAAATTCCCACCTATTACCTCATATTGATATTCATATCAAAATAGATTAATTGAATAATAATCTCAATCTTATATATTTATTATCAATGCATATATATTTCATCAGTTTCTGTTCTGGTTCAATTTCCCTAATAAAAATTTCTTTATGTCTATAGACTAAACTATGAAGAATATTTTAGTTTAAATGCATCTTCTTTTGATTACTTAACTTTTAGTTTATAATTATTGTATCATCTTTTTAAATTTTGGATTACTTTCCTTTGAATTGATTTAATGATGTATTCTATACTAATTTAATCACCTCGTTTTTTCAATCCAATTATAGATAATTCTGAGAAAATGCTATATTTAACTTTAGAAATCAACTTATCTGCTATATATATTAATCAAGTATATCTTAGTATCAGTATCAGTCTAAAAAATTTCCTGTTCTTTATTTATTTATTTTTTCTTTCTTTCCAATGTATCTATTTATTTTATTAAAACGAATATAAAATTAATTATATCTTAATCAATTTTTCAGACGGTACACAAATCAAAATTATAAAAATTAAATCATTTATTTTAAAATATTAAGAAAAGAAAGAGAGTAAAGATTTCTATCGTAAATCTACTGGAAGAGTTAATAGGAAAACAAGAGTAGAATTTTATTGTGGATAGAAATAAACTTATCTGGATTGAGAACGAGAGAGCTAATATTAGACAAATATAAATCAAATATGATAAGAATGAAATTCTATTTGTTTTTGTAAATTACAACCACTAATAATTATTTCTTTTATATGAAACTCAAATAAATAATATCAATCTAGTATGATATTAATCAAAGGCTTAAATAAATTTTCATCTTATTTCTAATTTATATCTGAAAAATTAACAAAATTATTCACCTAATACCTTACTAGATTACATAAAGTGATATACATAAAGACATAGATTCTTCCCACTTCTTCTTAAGATTACTAAATTACGATATAGAATCAGTTATTTACACTTTATTTCAATATTAAAAACCATTAAAATCACTTTAAAAAAAAAATATCAATCTCAAAATATTCTTGTTTTATTTAGAACAAAAGTGATTTAATATACAATTTTATTATTTGAATTACCAGAGGAAATAAACAAAACGTAACTATATGTACAAATGTTATAAAGCATAAACTCCAAAGATATTTAAGTAAAGGATTATCAATTGACAAATCTTATTCATCTGATTTCAATTCCTTAACTCCTTAAATTAAGAATATGGTCTATATTTATTTTAAGAGAAAATATTTAAAAACTCTTTAGGGTGATTGATAAGATGAATATTAAAATATTTATGTCCAAAAAAAGCCAAAAAACCTAAAGAGCCTCCTAAAAGTATTAATCAAGAAAAATAATTTGGCAAAGAGTTAATGAAACATTATGAAAAGTACTTAAAGATAGAAATTATTTTCGAAAAAGACTGTAAGATTACTAAGGCAGAATATAGAAATTAAAAAGCTTTTATTAACTCACTGAAGATTGATAATTATTTTCAGATAATCAGGATCATCAAGAATGCAATGATGCAGCAACTTATTAATTTGATTTTACTCGTCAAGAAGTAATTCCATATTAGGTTTATTAATTAAATCAAAAATCAGCACATTTTTAATTCCAATAGTTTTCATTTAAAGTATTACTGATAAAAGATTTGATATCAAGATTTACTAATTTGATTTGTTTAAATTTCATAGAAGTATTCTGTATTTAGCTAATCTTTCATATTTTATTGAGTATAAAGACTATAATATTCATCTTATGCTGTTGAAACTGGAGCCATTAATTATGTACTAATATCTTTCCCAATTTGAAATGATCTAATCATCAAATAACAATAATCAACAACTTATAAAATTCCATAAATAGTTATTCAAGCTACTGCAAAATTAGTTGTCAATACTACTTTTCTATGAATAGATTTTCAAAATGATTCTACTTTAACTTTTTTTCAAGATTTAGAGCTTAATATTGGTTTGATACTTTCATATGTTATGATTTTTATGACAAAAACATTTCATCTAATTAAATTTCATATTTTTTGCATTTTTGTAAACTAACTACAATAATATCTAATTAAGCTATATTTTATTACGTTAAAATAAAAGGAGAAGTAAGACTAAAAAGGAAGGATTGATAAAAAAAGTATTTTAATATTTATATTAATATTAATAAAATGATTTATTATAATAAT